TAGTATTTTCAAAATGAGATATAATTTTACATTATAATAATAATGTTCACTTGACTGGATACATTTTTTTGTTTATTCAGATAATGTTACTCTTCATCTTGATGGAGTTTTGTATTTGAGAGTGGTTGAACCTTTCAAGGTAGGTTTTATAAGTCCCACTTTCACATTAAAAGTAAGTGTTTCTACAGGGTAGGACTGATTGATTTTATAGTAGGGAACTAGAGACCATTTTTCAATGCAAGCCTTGTAAGTTATACTCATTGCTAGTTTGCAAAGGTTAAAGTCCAGATCCCAATACATGTGTCAATCAAAAGTATTTAAAGTACCCACATGTGCAGGAAATGAATAGATGTAACTTACAGTCAGATACCGGAATTATTAATATTAAATACTGTTTCAAGGCTTACATTTCTACCTGTGCAAGTAATATAAATTGCATATCAGATTGTGTACGGAGATTTTTTTCCTTTTTTGACTTCTGTACTAAATAATGCAGCTCCTACAGCAAACAGGTCTCATGTTAAATGTTTGTGGATTACAATGGCTGCAAAATTGAAAATAAGTTTGTCGCTATCTTGGTTTGTTCTGCAATAACACATTAAGACGAAGCAGACTGAAATGACATGTACACCAGAATTCATTCTTCATCAAACTGCATGACTTGCATTTTACACATATTGAAATTATTGAGAATCTGAGATAATCAAATCTCAATCTCAGCTGTCAAATAATAAAATTAATTGAAATATTTGGTTTATGAACTAATTAAACGATTGTATTTTAAATCATAAATTGGGAACTGCAGCTGTGCACTGTACAGAGAAGGAGATATTTGCAGTTGTTATGCAGCATCTTGCAGATTAGCAGTTGAAAGCAAAATTTTAGAACTATTTGGGCCTCCTATTAAGGCTTCATTTCATTCCAAGCCTTCCTTTAAAATTTGCTAGTTTGCAGTTTCACGACCTTTTCACTGAGACTCAAGCTGTACTTAGAAGATTTTGTCAAGTCATGTGTAATAAGAGACCCATGAACTAGTAAGATGTACAGTCGTACATGTCTGCATGTACATGTATAATTATGTACATTATACAGTGTATGTTATATGGCAATATAGGCTTCTTATGGAGTGGAAGACCCAGAGTTTGCCGTTACACAGTTGGCACAGACAACCATGAGGTCTGAGTTAGGTAAGTAATAGCTTTACTTTAATTGAAACGCGAAACAACTACCTTGTTGAACTGATACAGACAGGTTCTTTCCTGGTTGGGGAAGGGGTAGGGTACACATGTACACATGTGCCTTCTGCATGTACAGGTACAGGTACAGTAGAAAAGTCATGTGCACAATACCGCATACATACCATCATATGCATGAACACATTAATTTACGTTGTAAATCTAGATGTTAAAAACATTTCTAGCTCCCAGGATTCCTCTTTTTGTTTTTGGACTTGTAAGGTCAAATTAAATTTATTTTTTTCCTCATTGGTGTTAGACTACCTTCATTTAATGTTTCCTTTGCAGGTAAAATCAGTTTGGATAATGTATTTCAAGAAAGGGAAAGATTGAATCATAACATAGTAGGTGAGGAGGTATTTTAATTTCATTTAAATTTCACAGTGGGTTAGTTTTAAGTTCCTTTGTGAAACACTTACTGTACAAATTATGTATGCAACAAGATTTAAGCTTCTCCTTACTGTCCAAGCTGATTAATTTGTACCTTATACTGTACATGTATGTATGTACATACTGTATGTAGTAGAGCTAATGGTCTCATCTTGTCCTGGTTTCTAATGTCTTCTTTTCTTACCATTGTCAGAGGCCATCAACCACGCTGCAGAAGTATGGGGAATAAGATGTTTGCGATATGAAATTCGTAAGTTTCATTTCTGGCTCGGGGTGATTAATTTAANATTTTTTTCCTCATTGGTGTTAGACTACCTTCATTTAATGTTTCCTTTGCAGGTAAAATCAGTTTGGATAATGTATTTCAAGAAAGGGAAAGATTGAATCATAACATAGTAGGTGAGGAGGTATTTTAATTGCGCTTAAATTTCACAGCGGGTTAGTTTTAAGTTAAACACTTACTGTACAAATTATGTATGCAACAAGATTTAAGCTTCTTGTTATTGTCCAAGCTGATTAATTTGTACCTTATACTGTACATGTCTGTATGTACATACTGTATGTAGTAGAGCTAATGGTCTCATCTTGTTCTGGTTTCTAATGTCTTCTTTTCTTACCATTGTCAGAGGCCATCAACCACGCTGCAGAAGTATGGGGAATAAGATGTTTGCGATATGAAATTCGTAAGTTTTATTTCTAGCTCGGGGTGATTAATTTAAGAAACAATGGAATTCAAACAAAGTGTTCAATAACAATCTGCATGCTCTGTACCATTGTCAAAGTAAAAAGGTTTCTAATCAGTAGTGTCTGAAGTTAATTTCTGTAGCTCTTAGCTTGGAGAACATTATCTTTTTTCAGATCAGTTAATAACTACTAAAGCAATCATGCATGTTTAGTGTACTATAATCATTAATTAAAGCTAAGCAACTCTACTGTAAGTCTCTCTATCTCTTTTTTTCTTTTAATTCATTTTTTCTTTTTTATTAAGGTGATATTCAACTTCCCAGTTCAGTGGTCGAGGCCATGCAAATGCAGGTACATATGAAATTTACGTTCATTGTTTTCTATACTTTTTCAGTACAGACATGTGGTCTTGATCTTTACATTAACATGAGATACATGTACGTGTACTTGAATTGAAGTTTCTGCATGATGATAAATAGTGGTTTAGATTGTTGTTGCCATTTGTATACTGTCATAGGTAGAAGCTGAAAGAAAGAAACGTGCTGCAGTGTTACAATCCGAAGGTGAGCCTAAAAACTGTAGTTTTCCTGAAGGTTAACATCTCATTGTATTAATGTTATCGATCTAATATAACAATGTAGTAAGCATAAACACAGGATTAAAAGGGTTCTGGACGTCTCTCAAGACAACAAAGGTATTGACCAAAGAAACATACCCACTTAAAATACTAGGTGATTAGTTCCTGTAATAGGTTGCGACTCACTTAATACGGTATGTTGTAAATGCACGATAAATTTTGGCAAGGATTTCCTTGCATATATTTTTCATTATTCATTGGCTCCAGCACTTTCTTTTTTTAAACTCGTCATCAAAGTTTCATAGTGGCACCAATTCACTCACTGCCTGTATGGTTGTACCATGCAAGACAAACAAACTACCCTGTTCTAGACAAACTTTACTTCCTTGTTCTAATGCACTTATCTAAGCCCCACACACCTTTTTGACCATGTTATTTCTTGTTCCTGTTGTTTTAGGTCAAAGAGAAGCTGCCATTAATGTTGCAGAAGGAAAGAAACAAAGTCAGATTTTAGCATCAGAAGCCAGAAAAATGGAGCAAATCAATACTGCCACTGGTAATCAACTGCACTTGTTGCCATTAACACATTTGTGAGATGTGTGTCATTGTTACTTGAAAGGTTTTAGCCTTGTCAAGCCAAAGATGATGTAGTCTCCTCCGCAGCCGTTTTTTGGGATGTCACGCAATGCTCCCTTTGGGAGGAGTGTTGCGTGACATCCCAAAAAACGACTAAAGTCTAAAGATGATGGGAAATGAAAATTAAATTACCCTATTCTTTGCTCACAAATATAGCAGATCTTTTTTATTAGTGTATAATTGGGAGATGTAGTGGCCTAAAGGTTGGTGGGCTGGACTTTCAGTTTGAGTCTGGTTTCAAGTCCTGGCCAGGGTCAATGCATTTTTCTTTGGCAAAACACTTTGCTCTAAAAGTTCCTCTATCCACCCTGGTGTGCAAATTTAATACTGAGGGTTATGCAGCAGTGGACTTGCATTCCATCCAAGGGGGAATTCAAAATCTCCATGGTCGCTTAGAAACTGGGATGAGCTCCAGCAATCTGAACCACTTAATTGGTTCAAAGCAGACTTGGATTCCGACAAACTCAATATTTAATCTCATTTGAAATTATTGTTACGAAAAAATAAAGTCAAAGTCAGCTTTTTTACATGTAACAGCACACACCCACCATGAAAGTAAGTGCAGCTTCAGTATTCTGTCAAACAGACTGTTCCTTGTCTGGTTTGAAATCCTGTTAAAGCTGCGAGATAAAAGAGTCTGTCGCTATCTTGATGTGCTTATTCATAGCACACTGAGACGAAACAAACTAACACAGAGTAAGATACATGTAAGGTGATCAGAAAAAAGGGATGGTGAACAGAAAAGAAATTCACGTGAACAGTGGAGTGTTATTTCTAATTCTGTGAATGTGTATCTTGCGCTCTTTTCAGGTGAGGCAAATGCTATCGTTGCAAAAGCTAAGGCTCGAGCGGAAGGAATTGAGAAAGTGTCCTTGGCGCTGCAACAGCAGGTGTGTGTCTTCTTAAGCATGATTCAATCACTGCATCCGTAATTTTTCGCTTGTCATGAGATTAAAATCTTTCTTGTCTTGGCGGTTCTAATTGTCTCCTACGTTATCTTACTCATGCATCGTTCTTATCTGTACAATTTATATACATTTTTATATTCTTATACATTCCTAGATATTTTATAGTAGTTATATATTCTTAGATAGGTTAGTGTAATAGTCATAGTACATGCGTTTTTACTTTGTTATTTTGTTTTCTTGGCGCACCTGTAAACTAGCTGGTGCGTCCTGCAGACTTTGCTTGTCAAGTCTATGGGACGCACCATTACCATTGCTAAGTGTGTTGTCCAAGGAAAATAAATGTACATGTCTATGTCTATGTTAACCAAAGGTGTACCGTATGTAAGGTGTGTGGTCTGTCCCCTTCCTACATGGAGTTGGGAAATCCTCATGAATACAGTCAGATTTAAGTTTTTAAATTTAGGACTGTCTAGCCAACAGGACAAGATCGTTGCAAACTAATTAATCCCTTACCTTACTTTGAAACGACGAGAAAAATGGAGTTTATCAGTGTTTTCATTGCCTACCAAAGCAGCAAATCAAGTGATGTACAAACTAATACTCTAGTCTTTTCTTAGTTAGGTGAAAGAGCAGCTTCTCTCAATGTCGCTGAGCTTTACGTGAACGCTTTCTCTAACCTGGCCAAGACAAACAACACAGTAGTGCTACCAGCTAATGTGGGGGACGCCGCTTCTATGGTAGCCCAGGTGAGTTAAATAAAATAAGAACGTCTTCTACGGTGAACAGCAACAACAACAACAACAACAACAACAATCATTATCGTAGACCTTTCTACTTACTTCCCGTTCACCACAGTAAAATTAAGGGGACCGGAATTCCCGGGGGACTCCCATCTCAAAAATACGGGGGTGCTCGTCGTATCTGTTAGGGGTTAAAAAAGCAGTTTTGGTACCTCTTAGTGTATTCAGCCTCAAAAGGTCCACAGCGGGAGCTTTCGCGCTTCCTTTTCGGGTATCGAGCCGAAAAAAGTCAGTGTCAGTTAGTGTGTTGTTTTAGAATGGTACCTCTTAGAGGTGAAAAAAAAATTCAGCCACGCCCACAAAACAGTATCTTGGTTCCTCTTATGGGTTCTTGTACAAATTTCCCAAGAGCATCCCCGTCCTCCAGTCCTCCTCCCA